CACCTCACCTCATCACCACACACTCAAGCACACACAGACACACACACAGACAAACTGACAAACGGACAGACAGACGGACATGCTGGCTGGCTGTCAGACACCTAGAAGCTCACTAATTGACAAACTGCCTCTCACTCCACTCCACAATCTCTCACTTCCTGTCACTATCGAACACACCATGCCTGTCTCTCATTTCTCACACATTTAAACTCAAGCACACATCCACTGCTATACACACATTGACAATTTTCTCCTCTAATCCATTTGAGGTGTGTGCAGTCGATTCTCCTGCACTAATACTCCTCGAGTCCCACACACTACTACACCCTGATAGTCTGCTTCGCCAAACCACCCTTCATACCTATTCAACTCTTGCGAATGTAGACAGATTCTCATGCATGTCACGTCTCTTCAATGTCTCTTTGTCTTCTGGTCACCTCTTCTCATCTCTTCTCATTTCGTCTCACACTCAGCGTCTTCTCTCAGTGTGTAGATGGTGTTGTTTGTGGAGCCAGTGGGAGTAGATTGTATGGTGTTCCTGGTGTGACATGAGTGATGTTGTATGTATGATATTATTCGGTGCAGATGTGGAAGGCGAAATTGAGACTAGTCGATGAGTCAGTGTGATAAGCAACAGGTGAGAGTCGATCTGGAGTCGGTTGACTTGTTGATTGATGAAGCGCATTAATGAATGAATGAGTGATTGAGTGAATTCGGTTGATAGTTGTGGTGAAGGTGTTGGCTCTGTGTGTGTGTGTGTGTGTGTGTGTGAGCTGTGCAATCAGTGTGGACTGGTAGTGTTGATGTGATTGATATAGTTGAGTGGAATGGCTTATGACGGCTGGGCGTGGTGGCGTACGCCTGTAATCTAGCTACTTGGAGGCCAGGGTGCGGAATTTCGCGGGACCGGGAGTTCTGGCATATGGGTGCTCATGTTGATCGGGCGTCCACGCTAAGCACGGCGCCGATATGGATGACCTGTCGGAGGACGGGTTGTCCAGGTCGACTAAGGAGGGGCGCACCGGCCCAGGGGGGAAACCCAGCAGGCAAAAGTCCCCGCGTGGTGCGGTAGCGGGATAGCGCCTGTGAATGGTGGCCATGTGACAGCCCGGTCCGCGCGTGGAGACCGCCTCCTCTTTTCACCATACAACCATCAACCACAACCACAAACACTAAACACAATCACACCATTATCACATCACATCACTTCACATTCATCATCGCCTCTTCTTATAAATAATATAATTGACATTTCAGTTTTGAACGCTCTGTCTTTTGTGTGGAGGCACAGACTGCTTTGCTGAATTCATGTTTGGTATGCTGCTTTACCTTCTCTTGCCTTATTTATTCTATTTCTGGTGTCTTTGTTTCATTTTATATTATGCTTTCGTTCCTTCCTTTGTAATTTTGTTGAAATCTGTCCTCATTTTGCTTATTTTTTCTGCTATTATACTCAGTTTCAATCTATATTTTTCCCCTGACACTTGACGACTTATCTTTTTTCAACTTTTGGTTTCTTCATTTTTATCCTTTGTTCGCAATATATTCTGCAGATTGTTCTATTTTTTACTCAGTAAATTCTTCAAAAATCCTATGATTTGTCTAAGATATATAAGCATGTTCATTTCTCTCACTGTCATGTTTTATCCACGTACTTATTTTAAGTGGCAGTTTTCACGTTTCGATAGCTCCCTACGAACTGGCGACTGTATTTTGAACATGCACTTACTATACAACTTAGTTCTTTCTTTACTGGCGTTTTTTTGTAATGGGCTCATATTTGTGCATTAGTTTTCTAACTAATTTAATCCAACAGCTCAAATCAGTTGTTAGATTTATTGTGCACTATCCCAGTCAGCCGCCTTTTGCGTTAGCCGAAATGGCGGCTTTTGTATCGGAAAACCGAATTATATTGGCTCTGGCTCCAATAGCTGTCACTACTGCATGGTGCTTCTCCCTGACACCAAAATACAATTAGGTTTAAACAGCAATCGAATGTTAGCTAGTGGCTGGGTTGAATTTGAATGGTCAAGGCTTTTTAAAGTCTGATCTAACTGGTATCTACTTGTCCAACCTGGTTTGTTTTGATGTATTCAATCGCAGTCCTCAAGGTAAAGCTGGAGGCACCACTTAAAACAGGGGATATGCCATATCAACGCCCGTCCTCTGCTTTGCTGTCACTAACCTGGCAAATTATTAAACTTTTCTGGCCAAAAACCCAACATTTTTACTCACTAAATGTATACCTCTTAAGATAGCACGACTATGTAGTTCATTCTTTCGAATCTGTGTTTTTCCACAAGTACTTGTATGTGAGATTAGCTACTGACTACTTTTACTGATGCGCATAAGTTTATTCAGGACTGGTTAAATGTTAGGAAATAACAATAGTATATCTAAGAGTTGATATAGCTTGTAGATTTTTAAAGGATGATTCAATCCGCTTCCCCACATTTATTGATAAGCTGCGCTATTATTTGCATACTGTTTTCATAAAAAACTATATATGTAAACTAATAGTTACAAAGCTATTGCTGCATTCGTTTATGTATCATTTTTCCGATCTATAAACACCGCCACTGTGTGTTCCTTCCCAACATGAAATCAGCTTGCACCAATCACAAAAGCTGCATATATCGACTGAGAATAGTGCACTCCATTGTAATCAAGCAGTGTCATAGCTAAGTCTGCTGCAGCCACTGTAGACATGCGGCAGCGACTCCGAATACAGGGAAACGATTCTTAATGTGGATGTGAACACTGAAAAACTGGACGATACACAATGGTTAGTAAAATTGTATCAGATATTCCTGAGACGGGATTAAATTACTATTAAAACCAGAAAATAGAAGCATCGTGATGATTGCTGACTTTTAAATGCATCACTTGCAGAAGAATGAAATTTCACAAGTTTCTAGAGGATAAAACTATACCATAATTGGATCAGTATTTAGGGTTGGTAAAGAAATAGTCGTTAACTACGCGTGAGAAGCTTAAATGGTATTGCTGTGGTTTCAGGGGAAACAAAAAGCAATACGTTGCTAAATCATCTGAAGGAAAAACTGTTTGCCACAAAGGAAATCTCGGTTATAGACTATGCGCTCACAGATCAATAACTTACTCTAACTCAAGGGGATTTGACACAGGCTACGGCGGTAGGAGACTATCCTGGAGACTAATGGTGCTTTATAATAAACTAAAACATATAGAAAATTTAAACATGGAGCTAGTGACAGAGCTTGCACATTTACCTAGATAAGACACAGTAAAAACCAAATCTTGTGGTATTGGAGCAAGTTTCAAGGACAACAATAATATTCCTTATAATACACACCTGGATTTGAGTGCTTTTGCATGCAAAGGAGATACGATCCTATTACAGTACGTATGTGTTATTCTCCAACCCAAATGCATTTCTTTGACGAGGAGGAAAACAGGGCTGGTGAGTCTAGTCGGAGAAACAATTTGGTCGTTAAAATCACGATACGTTGTCGATCCGAAATCCCTGCTTATCTGACTAAAGATCTTTCACGAACAGCCAAAAGTAACACACCAACTTTCTAAATGGTACTATTCCGTAAGGTAACTGCTCAGACATCGAAAAGGTTCAACAAGTGGAAGCAAACTTCAATGTTTCTCAGAGGGAGATAGCATTTCAAACCATTTCAGAGCATCTTTTATGGCCTTACCGTTTTTGTCTTGTCACGAAAAATCTTAGGAATCAAAATTTTCGCCTTCATGTGGACAAAAATCTATAAAACAATTGCACACCATTAAGGATCGACTGCCCTAGGATCGATGTGATATATTCAAAAATCCCCTATAGTGTCACAATCAAAAGAACGACTACTAGAAACCAGTGGTCAGGGGCAGATCTAATAAATACCAGGTCAAGGTTCACAGTTAATGCATCATAGCTGATGATAACGTACGGGGTACTTCATATGATTCCAATTATAATAGCATAGTATATCCACGTTTTGACGTTATAGGATGTGTTAACACAGTGTGAGACTAAATATCGAACAACGTCGTATCAAAGGCACAAGTGAAAAATTGAAAAGGTGTATTGTTAACGAAATCAAACTCAGAAGAGCGCCAGGCGAACGTTAGTGTAACCGCGTAAATATATAGGTATATATATCAAGCGAAAACCAATGTCCAACAATACATTGGCAAATATTAGAAAAACATGTGTAAAATTAGTTTCTGTAAATGCATTATACAGGTATATGAATTAGTTTCATAAGCGTACAGTTCGAGTCAATATAAAAGTGCTATGTGAAGGCCGAAAAATATGAAATCATACGTTCATTGTAAAATAGTAAAAATAATGAATTCACTGCACATCATGGTTGTCAATTGATATCGAATTAGGACACTATCTGGTTCACCGCGCTGTTTAGACGACACAACTTCCCTTCTCCAGCTTCTTGCTTTCCATTACTGCCCATCATCTCTGTCCCGTACCTGAACCGTAAATCTTCTTTGGGATCCTTTGCTTTAATCTCCGTTTCTCTCCACAAGTAACCCTTCAGAGGGCTGTGGTAGCTTTCTCTACTCTACAAAAACTTAGCCCCCACTCCGTGGTACGTGGGCCAAGACTAGAATTCTAGACGCATTATCTGAAATACTACCGGCTACACAATTTAGATCAGATGTCATATAACACAGCAAAAGACAAGGTTATGAGTGAACTGTTATTTAGAAATACTTATTTCAGTGTATTTGGATATCATATCACATCTGCACATAAGAAAACTGCCCACCTTCACATAATGTCAAACACTTGAACTGCCATGTGAAAATTCTTACAGCCACAGTATAGATCGATCAATTTTGAAGAATCAACTTTCTTTACTCTTGGACAATTCCAAGGTCCACGGCGCTATTTTGATTCCGAGATGACCTTCGGCGTTTTTGTCAAAAGTTTAAGTCGGTTTAGTAGGCGTGTGCCATATCAAACATTGCTAAATGAGCGTTCAAAATGGTTTTCACAGATGTCATCGAATGCTGTGAAGGATTCTGAATTAATTCCACCTTCTTTCTGTGACAGTAATGAAAAAGAATATCCTAAACACATACACGATATCGTTAATCGTATCAGCGCTCTCTCACTGTTAGAGGTCGCAGAATTATCAGAGTTGTTGCAAAAGAAATTAAATATTAAGGTAAGCGTGAGGCATTGATTTAAGTGTCATATGCTTAATCGGTAAACATTTGTCTTCACATAGTCGCAGATCTCTCACTTCGATGTATTTAAATTTGGGTTGCTCGTTTAATTAGATAAGTAGGCAAATGTATGCTAACGTGAGCTATGTAGGAAATGAAGTTGGGGAGGATATCACTAGTGCTTCATTTTCTCAGTCAGCTGCTGGTAATTTTATATGCACGTGGGGTTTCGAACCACAGTTCCGTCATTGCGGTACTCAGTGTGCTGACGGTTAAGATACGTGAGATTCAATTACAGTCAATGTAAGTACTTTCAACAAAAATCTCAAAATACTTGGAATGTGTTCTGCTTTTGATGTACATTAATTAATGGTTCGTAAGTGACTCATATCACCCTTTGGTTTAGAAATACAATGTGAAATGGTCAAGTGTATTAAATACTTAGATTTCTCAGACTCGGATAACAAACACCAGTACTCAGATAAGCTCAGTAGTTTTAAGATGATATCCACCCTGTATTCCATGACTGATTGATGTCGTAGACTCCTACACAAAAACGTATCTGACGAAGTTGCCACACTTAGAAAAACTATAAAACATAAGTGAATAAATGTTGTGGAAAAAACAGAGATGCTATATGTTCGTAGTTATTCTGGGTCTAAGATATGAGCATGTTGTCTTGTCGTCACGAAGATCCCAGCTAGGCTATATCTACCTACCTAAGTGGCTTAGATCAACAACGAATAATATCGTATGAATTGATTATATGTCTCGGTATTAGCACCTCTAACTCTTCCCAGCCTTATCCTCATTGGTTGACTTACTTAACACTTTAACTTTACTAGTCACTGTATTGTTCCACCTAACACGTGAGATCAAACTGAATCATTTGTGATATAAAAAACCGCTAGTATTTTCATATGTGAGAAGCTTGGAGATCACATTAGCTTTACATGCAAGAAAGTTTTATCAACTTGCATTTCTGATATACTTTTGAGTCGAAGTGTAGATAGCTCAATAAAACAATTAATTTAGACAAAGAGTTACGTAGCATACTATTTAAGTAAAGTAAAATTATATTTCAATAGTTTACACACAATGATAAGTTTTGTTATATTAATATCATTTAAGCTTTTTGTTCCGCCGAATAAAACACGAAAGGAAGTTGATTGAGTGTTTATTTAGAAGAATATGTTAAGTGATAACGATAAAACATTGACTGATACACCTGTGGAAAGTATATAGCTTTTATTTTTTGTAAAGGTATATAAAATAATTTACTGTACAGATTACGTTTCGTTCTTTCCCACACTAAATTACTTTGCAGAGGAGAAATAATTAGAATGATTTTGAGGCAATAAAGTCCTTCATTATACTGATAAAGCCAAACATGCTCAACTACAAACCTCGGTATTGCACAATTGGTTGTCATGCCCCCACACTGTATACTAATTTACATGTCTGAACATTTACATCTGGAGGAGTAAACGCACTTTGAAGGTGAGGTCTTGGAGACATGCACCTAAGTGGGTAATGAAGGACACCACAAAACTATAAGCGAAGGTAGTAGACTCTAATCGTCGTCCATAGCAAAATACCAGGTATGAATCATACGATCATCTTCAGAACGGCTTTCATTGTTTTAGTACAAAACAGTCATGGGCGCATTTTGGAGTATGCTGATTAGGTCGTTATTCGTAAAATAAAGCCCCATTTGTGCATGAACAACTTATTGATACACAGTCTACTTTGTAGCATTTATCTTGATCAGATAAATATTAAGTGTCAGTCTATCATGCTCCTTCAAACCTGTATCAATGGGTTCACCTAAATTGGCCCCTCCCGTTTATTCTTTATTTTATAAACTGACAACCAGTGTGTGATCAGGTTGCTCGAGACGTATTGCACAGATACACTGCATTTTTCCGATAGTCCTTGTCCAGGAAGTAGGTGCTGGTTGTTGTCTTCGCAGAAGATTGTCTCGTCTGCAATCAATTAGTCCCTTCTAACTATTAAACGACGGTTCCTATCCCCAAAGTCCAACTTGTATATTCAAGTTTCTATTCAGCACCACGACATCTGTTGTTAAAGGTGGCTTTAATGATAAAACCCATCCTTAGTTGTACCCGTGCTGTAGTTCGTCAGACTACGGGTACTGATGAAAACACTTCGTTTGTTAGCTATCGATTATTTTATCCTAACATAACACAAAACGGTTTTCGGTAGGAATCTCATTATAATAGATACTTTATTGGAATTATGTGAGCGAGTCATTAAGAAGTGGCTTCTCAAAATCAATAAGGACGGCCTATTGTCTGTTACCTATCAAATTAGGGACAGTTGACAAGCCTAAGTATAACATGTCGAGTCAGAATAGGCATCTTAAGTGCTGCATCGAAGAACGACTTTTAGAAAGCAACTACTTAGTGACTCAGAAGGTTATACTAGTTGTTCCAATAGTGGCCGACAGAAGAGTTGAATAAAGATAGAAATAATAGATTGAATAATAAATTACATGCTAATAAAAAGTAATATAATTACAATATTTTTATAAATCAGAACACCTTGCAGCGATAGATTTTGAGTCTCTCAGTGTTATACCAGGGCTTTCAAACCTTTATTGTGGCGTCTGTGCTGTTGCAATCGAGGTACCAATTGAATGCTTAAAATGAAGCAGTATATCGTCTCACTGAACCTCTCCCTAAGCCTTTGTCCCTGAGTATAATCCACAAGGTTACAAAGGGAGCTGCATATATATATATATCATTTAAGCGTTTTAATTGTTACCACCGATTGTTGGCAACGGAATAACCAGACTCTGCGTAGACATTCAACACTTTGGTCTAGTTCAACATATATAATTCCTTTTAAACAGAATAAGGGGCGATTCAGGTTAGACTTTACTGCGCGCATTGATTTCCCTTGACATGTTCTCCATCTTTCGGGAATTTGTTATTATGGTATACACTACACATCTTGTTGCTGATGTTTATGATGAGCGGTAAGGTTTTGTAAGCCGCTTAATTGTGGTCCACACACATAAGTTAATAATCACTTAATAATAATTTAAATTTAGACATGCATTGAGTAATCTATTTCTGGGACTAGTTAGATGTTGTATAATGCAGTGAAGAGTCCTCTCGACTGAGCTGTCAGATATGTAAGTGTATTCTAAACTTTACTCGATGTTTTTCAGTTAAGCACACTCATATATATATATATACTTATGGAAAAACATGAATGTAGTATGTTCGTAGTTATCCTGGGTCTAAGATATAAGCATATTGTGAAACCATGTGACTAAAATTGATATGATTATGAGCAATAATTTGTGCTCAAAACGTCATCCAGTTGTGAATATTGCATCGCTGTGTGATATTTAAAGTAAACTTATCCAATATGGAATACTCACTTATAGTATATATATATATATATATATATATATATATGTATATGTATATATATATTACAAGATTGATTGGGAACTCTAATTAAATGGTTAGGGGAATTCCTATGTATAACTGTTGTACCTTGTACTTATCGAGTCAAAAAGACTTCGAAATGATTTTTGATGCTTAAAGTTCGTTCATGTTTAAAGTAATCATACTGAAGTTTCTTTTGTGTCAATCCAGAGTCCTGGACCTATGATGCCCATGATGGCTCAAGCACCGACTAGTCAATTGCCAGAAGAACCTGAAGAGCAACAGGCACCGACCAAAATGTCATTCTCAGTAAAGATTGTGAAATTTGACGCTGCAAAGAAAATCCAACTTATCAAGGAAATAAAACAGGTCGTTCCTGAAATGAATCTTGTCCAAGCTAAAAAGTTTGTGGAAGTAAGTTTACAGAAGCAGTAATAAAGTGCCGGTGTGTAATTGCTTGTACTTTAATAAGAACAATTAATCTGTCAGCACTTGTGGTGTATTACATTTTAATGATTCATCAGTTTATCTAAAACCTCAAAGATTATTATGCTATGGATTGGTAAAGGTTTCCATGATCCAGTGAGCGTGACATATGGAAAACATCTATTTTCAGTAATTGTCAAATAACTCAAGTCTTTTCGAAGTAATATCATTTGATTAACTCCTTAGAACGAAAAGATACTGAACAATCATTCAGATATGGTTAGTGAAAATCTGGTTCAAACTTAATATCCTATGATCCATTCTGACTACAATGGTATCAGCAACACGTTCAACATCATAATGCTTAGTATCCGTTTACTTGAATTCACTATAAACTGAGGTTTTCAGCGTGAAGTTGCCCTAGTTTCCAATGCAGAAACGTAATTTTTATTTAGCTTACTATGTTTATTCCTAACTTTCACATACTAATTATATGATAACTTGAATTTTTCAGAGTACACCTGCAAATGTGAAGACTGATGTACCTAAAGAAGAGGCTGAACAAATAAAAAAGATATTAGAAGAGGCTGGAGCGTCTGTTGTAATTGAATAAATAATACTGTACATTATATAATTTACAATGTAGTGAAATATGCTTTTTTGTAAATGATCAAATTCACAGCTTGTTGATGGTATCAGTTATGTGAGACACCCTTCAAAGCCAAGTAGCCATTTACGATGTGCTGTGGTAGACATCTTAGTCTTCGGAATTCGGAACAAGTGGCATAATTAAGATTAGTTTGCGGATCTGTATAATTAGTTGGTACTCCACTTAGATCAGACACTTTCATTGGCGGGCGAATACTTGGCGGTGCACTTATATGATTGTAAAGAACAGCATCCGGCGGGTATTTGATCTAAAATGAAGAAAAAGTCAGAGATTGATCACATGCTCGCCTCACCCACCTAGAAACAGTTACTGAATAGTATTCATGTGAATTTACATAAGGACATTGTTAGCATTCGAGAAAAAGCTAATGAGATGGTGCGAAAAATGTGAATCAACCATTTCTAATAAACCATCATATTATGTTCAATGCATCCAGTAAGCTATGAAAATTGTGGTCTGAGGTTTTTTTTACTAATGATCATAAACTTTATGTTTATTGGTAGTCTTCACATCAAATGGAACAAAAACTGTCTGAATAGGAATGATGGACTAAAACAGAATTTGAGCTGGTTGCAACACCACCCCCCAACCTCACGAAGTGACAAAATCAACACAAATGTGATAAGCAATTTCATCATGTAAACACACAGTTTTTATAATTTCATACGCTTATCAAATCTAACAATCTACATGTGGTTCTGTTATCTTTGCCAATCGACCAACCTGACAGCATTAAAATAACGCCAGACTGAAGAACAATGGTTAATTTTGCTATATATGAGTTGGGGTTTTGTAAGTTCTGCTTTGAGAATACATTGATGAAGATGTTAGCATTAAACAGCGAAACGTCAGTAAAACAATACCACTTTGTTTTTCATTCATTGGGAAATACAAAAACTTCTATAACAATGCCCAATTTTTTTTCAAACTGTTAAAACTGAACTCGGTTTGGACATATCGGTCGGTCGGTCGGTTTTCGACATAGAACTTTGCACATATGTGCGGCAGTTCAAGTCGCCACACTCCATGTAGCACACAAAGCAAGAGAAGAAAGTAGAAGAAATGCATAATATAGACAGTAAACAGAGGTGTGAGACAAAGGAATAGTTTAATTGGAAATCATAGGTCACAAGGAGTGGATGCATCTGCGCTAGCCACTGAGAACGATTTTGAGCCATGTCACCAATTGTTTCCAACCATTGGCTTTTACCGTCCCGAGGACCCCAACCAGGAAGTCTACATCTTCCTACGTGGCTTAGACTAACCGTTGTGGATTTCATTGACTGGTGCCATGTTTTCGTTTGACCGCCGCCAGTTCTTTTCCAGCCTGGCCCTATATCAGCTAACGTTGCCCGTCGAGGAAGGCGATGACTAGGCATACGTAACACATGTCCCAACCATCTCAGTCGATGTGGCTTCACAGTCTCGTCGACTGATTTCCCCGCCTTACCTAGCACTCGACGCCTAACCTCAATATTGCTCACCTTATTATACCACTTCACGCGGGAGATAGAACGCAGACACCTATGATCGAAGACAGATAATCTTTTCATGTCTTCTGCTCTCAATGGCCATGTCTCACAGCCATAAAGGAGGACGGAGCGGACTGTTGAGCAGTACGCACGTCCTTTGGTCGATAGTCGGATGTCACGTCTACACCAGAGACGGCGTAAACTGGCATATGCGAACCTAGCTCTCTGTATCCGTGCTGAGATTTCGTCGGAGATCAACCCGTTGGGGCTGATGGTACTTCCCAAGTAAGTGAAATGGTCAACGTGCTCTACCACTTCACTTCCTATTTCTAATCTAGGGGTCGGTGAAGTCCAATCCTGCAGCATCATCTTACATTTTACAGGGGCGAATCGCATGCCAAACATTCTTAGATTGCAGCTCAAGGTGTTCAGTAGACTCTGCATTTTGTCAGCGTCCTCGCCTAGGAGGACTATATCGTCCGCATATTCTAAGTCAACGAGATTATTCCCTGGTAGCAAGTCAATCCCTGAGTCGCTGAAGTTTGTTAGGGTTAAGTCCATTAATACGTCTATGATGAAGTTGAATAGGAATGGGGATAATGGGCATCCTTGACGGACGCCACTAGTCGTCACCACTTCAGATGACAACTCGCCATAGGCCCTCAACTGGCTGCATGAGTACGAGTAGAGTGCCTTAATCAGTGCAATGTATTTTCTCGGCATTCCCTTTACAGCCAAGCATCGCCAGAGAACCTCTCGGTCGACAGAATCGAATGCCGCCTTTAGGTCAAGAAATATAGTGATCGTCGGACGCCGGTAGGAATGCCTATGTTCTAGAATCTGTCGAAGGGTGAAGATATGATCAATATACCCTCTTCCTGGCCTAAAACCTGCCCGGTTTTCTCGTGTTTGTGCCTCCCGAGCACCACTTAGTCTACGCAGTATTATTGAGCCTAGGATTTTAGATACTATATTTGTCAAGCTAATCCCTCTGTGATTATCACAAGAAAACTTGTCTCCCTTCTCGTATATCGGGATGATCAGTGACTTACACCAACCCGATGGGACTTCCTCTGATTCCCAGACGCTGCCCAGAACCTCAGTTAACGCAGACAGTAAACTTTCTCCACCGTACTTAAATACCTCTGGAGTCAATCCATCAGGTCCCGCTGCTTTGCCTTGCTTCAGATTAGTGACAGCTTTAGTAACCTTATTTAAGGACGGAGGACCTGTGTCTATATCCCATTCAGGGAGATGTTGTATGTTCGGCAGGTTAAGTGTGGCTGTGGGCCAATTAAACTGCTCCTCATAGTGTTCTTTCCAGCGCTCCAGACGTCTATCCTGGGAGCTAATTATGGTGCCATTTTTCTCCAAGATTGTTTCGCTTATCATTTGCCTTTTGCCACCTGTTTCCCTGATAAGCCTGAATAGTTGTCTGGTGTTGGTTTGGACATATATTGAATTTGAAGTGAAAATACGTGTCCTCATACACAAATAACCTGTGAAAACAGCTTATTCAAGCGTCACTATGCGACAAAATAAGTAGCACATAGTCTGAATAGCTCATGAAAAAACTCGATAGAACTTATCATCAGTAATGACCAAACTACACTAGTTTTGATAGTAAGTAGGCAAACAAGTCAAAAACTAAACCAAATCACATATCATTTGTAAACAATGTAGAAGTAATAAAGTCCTACATCTAAGCCGTTTGAAATGCTATTTACAAACATAAATTTACAGTTAAAAATATAGAGTATTACCTGTGACTCTGCATTTAAAACTTGTTTGATATTTTTGAAGTTCGTTTTCTTCCGTCCTGATGTCTTTGAACTACTAGCTTGCGGAACTGTCATTATACACCTTAGGCTCCAAGACCAATCCACGGGTTACGAAAAAATACCTGGAGAAAATAATGGTAATGGTTAGTAGATATGTGCTCGACTTCTGCTTATTGTTGAAAAAATGTTGCTGAAAACAGACTATAACTAACGATTATTTTGTAATCTAATTATTGAGATTTTAAAGATGTTGGAAACTGCCATTTTAATAATATGCTGGTGGAAACTTGCTTTTAGCTACATAATAACATGTTTCGCAGAGTTGCCATTACTTCCCAGCAAACATCGCAGTAAGATTGGACTGTCACAATATACAAGAATACATTGCTTGATGCTGTTTTCAGACTTTTGTAAGGCGTAAAGTAGTGTCTCCTGTCTTAGTTTTATTACAAGACTTTAGCGACAGTGTCAAATACACATTTAGAGACTGGGTTAAGGATAACTAAATGACATAAGAAAAAATGATGACTAGAGATTCAAAATAACGTAAGATTTGTACCTCAGCACGTAAATGGAAGCTGTTTATTCTCCAAGCGTTGGTATTTAATCATGGAATTTGCTTATTAAATTCAAGTAGATGCACTGTTCTTTCTTATGCCAGTACAGACTTTTCGAGTTAAGGGGATAAATTATTTCCTCTGAACACTGAGTGGGGGTAGTCTTTCAGATTTTCTCAATGCTTGTTTGCTGCACTCAAATTTAGAGCTGGAAAATAATGTTGGCGTGAGAGACATTTATCAATTGTCGGATGATTGCTATGCGAGTCGCTGCATACTTTACTTTGCATTTTCATTGTTAGTTTTGGTAGTGAGCCACGTTAGGCGGTATACACTATCTATCTAAAGTTTTCCGGATAGCTGTTTCCCATTAACGTAGCTCCAATCATATGACGGAGGGTATATGATTATTTCGATGCTTGAGAGAAACGATGCTGCGAAAATAAGTATATTTCCAAGTCCAGTTACTTTTTTCATGCACATTCTTTCTTATAGAGCCATGAGAGGATATACCCACATTCCGAGAAAAAAAGAAAGATGTCAACACCAAGGATAAAACTATATATATATATTGATGAAACGTCACAAACTGCAAATATCCCAATGGTTAAAACAATTAATTAAATAGATGAATAGGTAAATTAAAAGTAAATAAATTTTTGAATTCCCCAAAAATTTTCCAAAGAATTACTAATTAAGTGTACAATGGATGCAAGTTCCAAAACTAACGGTGAAACCTACAATCAGGAGGATAGAGTAGTGGTGGAAATGAAACTTTAGCATAGCACTGTGTACAAACGCACAACAGTTAGGGTTGCCATACTTCATAAAAGTACACATAAACGGTAGCAATAGGTATCCCACTAGTCCAACACTGAAGTATTACTTCTGCATAAAAATGGCTGACTGAACAAGTTCAATGGAAAATTCGCAATGCGTTTCCTATATATATATAGGAAATCGTTGCTATCCGTATATACGGATGACAAATGTATCCTAAGGGGGAACGATTCGAACAATTTGGAAATAAGTGCTCATATTAGTGAAGTATGAACCAACTCGTACCAACCTGTACAAAAACAGTCTGGCAAAGACCCTTCGTCATCTGATTAAAGTTATTAGTTCTGAAGATGCATATAACACCTTAATCAAAAGTGGCTTTCCTGCTAATCATCAAGCCATTAATGTGGGAAAGCAGTGCTTCGTTTGCTACGAATAAGCCACTTTACGAGTTGGAAAAACCTGTAGATGGTATATGTGGCGAAGAACCAACTCATAGGTTAAGAAAATCGATTAAGACAATTTTTAATTGTTAATCATGTTTTTCACACATCCATTTCCAAGTCGGACAAAAAATGGCAAAAAACAGGTGAGTAATGGATATTCTTTGGTTAGAAAATAGGTGAATTTTGGTCGTATGACAATACTTTAGCCATTTGAACCATTATGTGACCAAAATTTCAACACTATCCATGGTCAAATAATGCATTATTTAAAGTCATTGGTCCATTTGTAAGGTAGTTTCCTTCCAGGCTGTTATAGTCTGAGGCCACCAATTTTTGCTGAATCGTCTTCTACTACCTACCGAGCATCTAGTGACTTGTCAAAGGATTCTTATCTTAGGAAAAACTTAAACTAGCGCGTTCTTACTGCGGGCTCATCAGATTGGTCATTCAAGGTCACTGTGGCAAGTTGTTCATTTGAAACAAAGTACTGAAAACTGAAAAAGCAGAGGATAAGCTAATTAGCGTGAAACAGTGCGAAATCTGCGTATGCAAAACCGACAGTAACAAATGCGTTTTATAATTTTGTTCAGATAACCATTTATTCCTAACTACTCACCACTCATTTAACATATAAAGAGGGATATTGTTTTAGGTAGTCGCAGTCCATACCAAGCCAACGATGAACGCAAACAGACCACCGAAACACAAGCTATCGATAGTGAGGTTCAGTGACAGACCATCGTTAATTATGGAACATCAGCGTGAACTCCAATTGAACATTTAGGTTTTGGAGGTTGAAAATATGGACGTTCGCGAATTGTACGGAGTATACTGACTCAAGATCTTATACCAACAACTTCTACAATATTCGTTTGTCGTGTACCAAATACAAAGCAAAAGACCAGATTTAGTCGTCCAAAGTACGAGATATATTTCGGGACCAAATCGTGAAGCGTATTGAGTGCTTAGCTAGCTAGTGATCGTGCACGCTAGTGACACGACGGAGTACCAAATGGCAAGGATGCTTGATTGGAAGCCTTCAGCTAAACAAGTCAACTTAAACAATGAGGGTCAACATCCGATGTTCAGTGATGACTGCTGTGGTCAATAATTTTGGGGAATTATTTATCGCTGCTAGGTGTTCAATTGTGTGCTACGAGTGGCTTTCTTTCATGTGCTTGTTAACTTTAGCATCGTAGTCCATCGCTGTGGAGGTCAAGTAACAAATTTCGCTTTAAATTTTTTTTCCTGACGTATATAATAATAATATTTTATTCACATACATTTAGCATTTACATGACTGACACAGGTATGATAATATCTGACAGTGGAATTTTAGACTGAACACCATTTTATGACATGAATTAAAAAGATGGGAAAAAATTGTATAAACTTTACAAGAAGTTTGTAATGTTTACTTTAAGTGGAACAAGTTATAAGTGGCATTACATCCTTGAAGTCCGTTATATATCCTGCACTTTATCAGAAAATGTTACTGAGATTGATATCTGCATAACGTTATCAGTTAAATGATGTAGTTGGTTCAAAAGTGAAACATTTATGTTCAGATTTGCTGATATATATATGCTGATATATTTAGGCTTATTTACTGAAACGACCTAATGCCCACTGGATAAAGCAGTTGGAGCCACTTCAAAAATAAAATATGCTAAGTAGAGCAGCCTGTACTCGTACTTAGGTAATTTGATCAGCTGATCCCACATTTTACACGTTGTTAGGGGGCCTAAAATGTGTTAGAAGATATGAGTTACAATTAAACAGAGTACGTATTCAGGCCAGATATCTCTTACATATACTGACGTACCATGAGGGAGAAACTCTGTGTATACACTTAAACGCATGACGCAGTGCAACTACCACATTTACATCAGTCTGAAAACTAATGCCTACCGTTCTCGGCCACAGAACACCCCAGGTCGCTATCTACTTGTGTAATCACTTCGCGAATAATGAATTGACAAGAAAGCTTTGTAGTCACAGGAAAATTTATTTATGTACATTCCGTATTTGTAATCAGAAAATGAAAGGCAAATATACAAAAAAGTAGGAATACAGGTTCATTCGTCCGTTGATGACTATGCAGATGGTTCAGTGTATAGGTTAAGGGACGTAGTTCTAATTGTCCTCGGATGCGTGTGTTTAGGTTTCAGCACTTCACATAATATCCCTCGCATCAGCACTCATAAGTCCATGTCTTCACAGGCCATCGGCTGAGATTCAACGACAGTGTCGTTATACTCTCTTTACCAACTTGTGCTATGTATAAATATATCTTTGACAAATATTTTTAGCAGTTATATTAACTTACTTATACTGGAATACGTGTGGTAAACAGTGTGAACTAAGTGGCATCATAGCAGTAGCATATTTGTGCAGCATTTGCAGCCGCACTTTTCCACCTTCTCTAAATACCAATACTCCTTCTGTAGTTTCTGTAACTAGCATATTAGCGTGCCAACTGATGCTTTTGTAAACTGAATAAGCAGCGTAGTTTGTAAGGCGTCTCAGAAAATTTGAAAGACGTTCATCCGCCTGAAAATATTTTAATGAAGTAAAGGAGCTGTACAGAATTTTATGAAGTAAATAAGATTGCGATCTCCTTCACCAGCCTTTCTTCTTGATGACTTAATGGAGCTTTAAATATTTAATATCAAAACAAATGATTCGGCGAAGAGACTCTTTTCAACGAATTTATCATCAAGCTGTACAATCGTATATATATTGTTTTTTTAAGAAGTCATATCCGGTGAGGGAATTGGAACATAGGTGTCAATGCATAAAATAATGATAATATGAAATGCAATTAAAACTAAAATGTCTGCGATTATAATCATAGTTAAATGTCAAGTGGCAAAGCAAATTAATGTCATATATAGAATAATTCATAGGATGGATAGAACTTGAAAAAAGGTGTGCAATTATAAGATTAGTAGATAAATCGAATAAAATAAAAAGTTACGTTACATTTAACTACGATTATAATCGCAGACATTTTAGTTTTAATTGCATTTCATATTATCATTATTTTATGCATTGACACCTATGTTCCAATTCCCTCACCGGATATGACTTCTTAAAAAAACAATATATATACGATTGTACAGCTTGATGATAAATTCGTTGAAAAGAGTCTCTTCACCGAATCATTTGTTTTGATTTTCTATATGTTACAATGGGAATTTTCCATGATTTACATATTTCACGAAGGCTCAATTACAGTGGGGAACATTTATTAAGATGTGTCTCAAGGTGCCTGTGACAGTACTTGACCCCCTTGTCAGTTTCGTTGCCAGGAGTAAAAAATCTATCACAAAAGTGGCCGCCCACATACGCCAACAACTCCATAAATTACTATTTATGTAGGAAATAGGTGCAGGATAATGTAACCTAATTGTCATTCACAGTTCATCGAATCTAAAAAAGCTTTAATAACAACAACACAGTTACTTATAGTCATTAAAAGTATACGGATTCCTTAAGATATTTTCTTGCACTCAGCATCACGGAACTTGAGTAAATTAAGTCTTTCAAATAGTCGCTTATATTGTTACTGAAGTCCCTGATGACATTGAGAGCACATAGTAAAATAGAGCAGGCTGGAAACTAAGTAAGGATGGCTCCTGGTTCTGCGGGACTACTATTAGCTACGAACGTCACGGTCCGCAAAGAATCACCTGTTAGGTGCTTGATAGATTGTAAAACAACTTCAAAATCAACTAATCATTCCCGATGAATCACACTACGTGACAGCACAACTTCTGTTCAGTCCATCAGCAGAAACCACTTGGTATTGTGGATGACTGCGAACAACGTGTTCTATATTATATACTTACTCTTCTCTACTCGTATTATACTTTGGGCCCACGCCGACAACCTTAGGGAATTTTTTATACAAAGTGGTCATTTCTTTGATTGCGAGCCTGAATTTCTGGACATGTCGTTGGCTGTCTACCACATACAAAACTGACCCAGTCTCATGAATCTCACGTACGAGCGTATCCGTATCTCGCATGCCTGTAAACAACGTAAATGAAATAGTATTCATTACTTGGATCAATACTTTCTACTGACCTACCCTGATCTTCCCATGTCTTAGCAATTTCTTGGCGAATTTTTCGTCTGACTTTTTACAGTAAGAAGTTAAGGCACTCAGGCATAACTCAATCCCTCCTCTTACAGTTTGTCAACTCATGCATCGTACCTATTCTTCTTTACTTCGTCATTGATAGGCATCTGATTTCATGCGACAAATATGCTATAGAAATTTTGTCAGGCCGTGGGCATCCACTTTAATAGCAGCTTTCAACTTTCGTCTCCTCAGTTAAAATAAGAAGTCATTTTAAAAGACTTTATGCACGTAAGTCTAAGCATAAAAATTCCACGGTACCATATTTCGCAAGTATTTTATGTGACGAAAATAGTGTCAGGGACGAAATAACTAACTAACTTTCTTCGCACTAGTATATAAACCATTTTCTTCATCTTTATTCCACCAAACTTTATTGTCATTGTTCTTCTAATATTTGCAATCGTATCAATTTTTTGTTTATTTATTCATAAGTGTAAACATCATCTAAGCTGTGTAATATCTGTTATTTTTATCTTTCCCCTCACCATGCTTTATATAAGAACATTAGATTCAACAATCTAAAACATAATAGAATATCCAAACTGAATCGACAATTCTGTTTGAAAGAAACTCACTGTAGTTATTATTATATTTATTATTCTCATTTTGTACTTCGAATATTTTCGACTTTAAACCGTAAACATGGAGAAATACCTCTGTTTAATTTTATCCTAATTTTATTTAAATTTTGAGTAAATCGGATGCAGTATTGTGACAAATTCTGAGAATTCCATTCTGTATTATAAGTACTGTTTTTGGAATAAATTAGATTACCATTATAAAGGAAAAAGCTTCATGCGTGGGTTTACATTTAGGGCTTCGAGTCTTAGATTGTTGTCTGCAGCAACTCTGACATATGGATTAAGACACTCTTCAGGCTACCTGAAAACTCCAAAAAATTAGTCCCGCGCAGTGAGTTAGGCTCAAGGTTTTACCCTAAACGACTTAGAGCATTCTCTAAAGTTTGAAAGTCGACATTTAAAATAACTAATTATAGATCTCTTTGGAGCTGTCTTTTATATTTCGTCCATTCATTTAGCCAAGTTAATATTAGCGTTTAAGAACCTTCATCATCAAAGTATTGCTTTTTGGCAATCTCACATGGTATTTTACTGTTGAAAAAGTTATAGGAATTTCCTACATTTATTCGGTAATTCCAATATCATATAATGAAGCGATATGATCAAATTACAAAAAGGCGAACGTTGGAGAAAAAATCTATATAAAATCCTGCTTACATACTCATGGCTTGTGATCTGAACCGAACTCCAAGAATCACTTCACTTTTTATTGATCAATTGATAATTGTATAGATGAAGTGCGAGGTGCAACAGTTACGCTACATCCTGGCTTATGTTTAACAGGTTGTCACGGTGTTATTACTGCTTGGAAGAACTAGCTGGCTACTATGTTTTATGTGCGGAATGTACTGAAGTCAAAATATGCATCAAAGTAAGATTATTTATACAATGTAATTCATCCCATACAAGTGTTTCTTATGCGGTGTTGAGGGTGGTAAACATAAGAAGATTCATAAATACGTAGTCAAGGTATTTCAAAACTTTATGTTAACTAAAGTTTTCAGAGCTCTAATGGTGACTGTCTTTCAGCACCTGGTAAGAATTCATGGCTGGCTGAAGATGAATTAAAGTTACTAGAAGCACTGGAGACCTACGGTTATGGTAATTGGTAAGTGACTGGTCAATTGGTTATTTTATGTTAGGGATGAGATATCTGCACAACTTCAGTCGCATAGTGCTGCGGATTGTCGAGATCATTATGAGAATTTCTATATGTCAGGCATTATGAAAGAACTATATTCATCCACCTGCTCATTACCATCTGTCACGGAACATATTTATTCCTGCCAGCAGCTCGATTGTGAAGATGAAAAAAATCCGGCTTGTGATTTGCGGATTAGTCATCAGAAATCACTTGGATATTTACCATACAGGGATGAATTTGAATATGTATGTTGATTCTTGTTTGGTAATTCACTTAATAGGAATACATTAACTCAGCTGAAGAAGTTTTAAATGCTGTTTATGGCACTCCTCACGAAGACGAACTTAACGAGGGTGAGTATACGGCTGATTACGCAAGTTATTATCTATCTATTTTTAAACTTATTTCTGTATTTATCATCGCCACACATAACTATTATCAAATATGGTATAAAGTCAGTGAACATTGTCAGTTTGAGGTTCGCAGGGAGATGACATCGATTGGAAATGCCATTGACAACTGCATAACTATGTAGATGATTGTAAACATCGTAAGGCCAATGGAAACTGTGATATCGCTTATTGCAAGCACTCAACTTTCAACCGATAAATTTTAAGCTCGCACTTCCCGGTCTTCATCCTCAGTAACCGTGTAGTATAACAAACCCCACATGAAATGTAGCCTAAAACATTTAAAAAACGGAGTTTCTTAGTTTTAATTTAATTACTAGTTATTCACATTATATACCCGTAGTCTTATCGATTTTGTGCAGGTATTTCCAATAATACATTCATTTTTTTAAAGATGCATTTTAGTGTATTCGAAATAGTTACCTAGCGTGTAGAGGATTTCTTAAATGTTTTGAAGTCAGTCGCCATTTGCTTTAGAAGTATGAGCAGTGTATTTGTAAACACGCGTTTTGCTTATATGTCTTAATGCTTACAAAGTTGGACAAAATTACAAGGGACAATAGCTATCTCTACTCCTTTCTTGTCTTTAAATGCGAACGAATAATTATATATATATATATATATACATATACATATATATATATATATATATACGTAATGATGCGACGGGCTTTCGATTTGGAACATGTAAATATATCCAGTGTAGTATTATACTTCTTACTACAAGATAATTATTCCTAGCAACATGATTTCAAGGGAACCTCAAATTTAGAATATTTGATACACGAATTTAATCCATAAATGCTCAGTGTTTTGTTTATTTTATCCTCTTAATTTCAGCATTTCAGTTAGCATTGATCAGCATTTACAATCAATACATAGAGAAACGTTATTTCCGTCATCGGGTAGCGCGTTCACATAATCTGGTAATTCGTCTTATGCGTGATGTAATACACAGCCAGTCAGAAGAGAAGTCACACAACCCAACTAAACTAGGTGGTTATCCTAGTCGACGCGGTCGTCGTGTTTCTCGACTTAAAACGAATAATCGGAATTGTTGTTCTCAAAGCAAACTTAATAAGTCAAAAACTCAACATTCTTACAAATTAGGAAATAGTGACAATCTAATTATTAATCCTGATGTCAACTGTAATCCTACAAAAACTGAGCAAGTCAATGACGAAGTTTTTGCCCAGTCTCCAGCTTTAACACCAAAACACTTGGATCGTTCATGGGAATCATTACCAACACCCATCTTACAACATTTCCATGCCTCATATTTGAATAAACAAAGTGAAGATAAGGGGGTCTCTATAAACAATCCAGATTTTTCTGGCGTAAGCAAAACCCTGGATGTAGCCTGTGCCCCTAAAAAATCGCTTATTCATGATGGTTTATGGCCAACTGAGTCTTCCACTTCATCTGAAATTCTGGATTCAGGTATTAGTTCTGTGGAATCGTCTTCTAATTCTACTACATCTTGTGGTAGTTTAAGCGACCCATTTAGTCTTAACTCTACTAAGTCATCCAATGAATCACTGCCATTCTCTTGTAATGTTACCACCCGTCCGCGATCTAATTCTGATTCTGCCTGTGATCCCGCAACACTGAGATCGAAAATTCAGTATCCCACTTGGGTAGAGCAAATCTTGTCAAATAATCCATATAACCAGAAAGTTCCGCAAGTTGACAGTACTTCCAACTCCAATGCAGGTCTCATTCATCCCGTCTGCAAAGTGGAGACTCCTTTACATGTACCCTTGAGACGCCGTCGTGGACGCCCACCTCGAGACCGTTGTATAATATCCTACACTGATAACAAGCAGCAAAATCACCAAACATTCTTACTGTAAGTCTTTATCTGAGTATAAATTTTTCTAAATTTAATATTCCTTCAATCCTAATAATGATAATTATTATTCCTCAAACTGAGGTGACCCAGAGCTTTGAGCTGGACCCTTCATAAAGTAGTCGTATTATGTATCAGCACATTTGATTGTGGTAGTTTATTCTTGTTGACTAGCGATTACCTGGTTAAATGCTTGTTCAGAATTAACAACTATTCTGACTATAAAACTTATCCTTAAGATTGGTTAAGACTGATCATGGCAGTTTTATTGAATATTTTGATAGGTTTAATTAATATTGACTTATTCCACAGTTATAACCTTTCCCTATGAGAACAACTCTTTTTTCTGTTCGAAGTTAAGGTTACTCTGAAATGTTAGTCATTTCTTCAAGGATTTTGGGCCGCTTCACTCGTGTCTGTTATGCCGTACCCTACCGCACTTTACTGAGTTTACACCCCTTCCGCCAACAGTACGAATTCGCCTTCGGGCCTCCAACATGGAGTATCCAACGCACGTTATGATGGTAACTGCTATTAATCTGACACCTGTTCAGTTGGCCTTCCTGTCGTAATCTGTAGAAACATCTGTTCCAGCCGACATATCTCGTGTTATTGCATTTTGAGGGCCTGAATACCACGTCAAGACAGTAGCTTTCTGTCAAATGAACTAAATCGCTTAAAGCCTATTGAATTTTATAGGATAAATACTGTGACTGATTTATTCTAACACTGTTGTGTAACTTTTGAGGTGAATTAAAGTTATATATAGCCTTTTATCAACTGGGTGTTAATTTTTGTTATTTAAAAAGTAATAATTTATTAAACTGGTTTTCATAGCCTAAAAATCAGTCGGGTTTACCTATGGTTCCTTCGTTTTCATTGGTGAAACGTTCAAAAACAGCTAGTATTTACCTTATTCATTGTTTGACTTCTTATTTCCCCTCTGTTCGACAAGTTCTTCATCAAACGTCTTTTTCAACAAACACTCAATTTCTTGATAGTCAGGATTTACAACATTTTTCAGTATGAATGAGAAATATAGTTATATCCAACATTGCTGTAACTTACGTTCTGAGCCAACTAAAATTGTGGCAAAAATGTGTTTAGACTAAAATTACTCAATCATCAATTCGAAATCTTCAGTTTCTGTTAGGTGACTTCTCTTCTTATTTTTACTATTTCCAGTGCATCAAGTCCAGAAAAACTTAATAGCGAGTCCTGTTTACAGACATCATTTAATTCATCTCCTGAAAAGAATATTTTATCTAATTCTGTGATGAATGATTGCCCTAAGAAGTTTACAAGTTTAACTACTAATGTAGAAACTCCAATATCAGTGCCTGCATGTCGTCGTCGCGGTCGTCCACCACGTAATCGTCGATTGGTATCATCTGCACCACACAGTCGTTTCAATGAAAAATTTTTAACGTAAGTCATTTGACTGACAGTTTTAGCATTCAGGAACGCTCATTCGATTATTATTATTATTATTCCTTCACGTTCCCAGTGGAACATAGGGCTTCAAACTAGAGGCTTGAAGATTCTGTAGCAGTGTTTTACTTTTACAGGATGAGGTTGCTAGCCTCATGCCCAACCTTTCCTCTTTACCGGCTTTTTATTAGTAGTTTGGCGAGGTAAAGGAGTGCGTCGGTCGGGAATCGAACCCCGGACGATGTGCATGGTCGGCGAGCGTCCTAACCACTGAGCCACTGACGCACATCATTATTATTATATTTAATTTATCAATGGCGCTGAATATCCATATATAAAATCAAATGGGATTGATTTTGGTGATGCTCATACTTTCGCTAATGCGTCCTCTCACTTCACTGACTTTTTATGGGAGCGAACCAACCAGGAACCGATTGTGAAACAAATAGGCAGGAATAAATGGAGATGGATTGGCTGGCCATACTCTGAGGAAACCATCAAGTGACATCACTAGACAAGCCATTGTTCGAGTGGAACCCGAAAGGGAAGCGGCGAGTTAGTCGTCAGTGTGAGGGTGACTTGGAGGAGGTCATGTGAAGAGGAGATGAAAACGTGTAGGCAGACATGGAGCCAGGTGAAGACTAGCAGAGAACCGAACGCAATGGAGACGCATGGCTGAAGCCCTATGTTCCTCTAGGAATTAAATGAAATAATAATAATAACACAAGATATCCTTGAGAAAACTAGTATTTGCCAAAGTTATCACTCAGGAAAAATTGATTGACAACCCAATCAGCAATCTTGTGACATTTCGCTACTTTTCATGATATTAGTCCCACTATTTTCCTCAAATGACCTTGTACCAAATGTGTGGTTGTGAAGTCTGGCGTCTGGAGGGGAGTTACACATCAAATACAGATCCTGTTTTAGTGACATCTATATGTGTTTACTATCTATTTGTTATATATTGTGCTTAAGAAATGGTATCCATCAGCTGAAAGATTTAGGTGTAGGAGAATAGCACATGAGAATCATCAAGCCTGTTGTGAAGATGATTAGTTCACACATAAATGCTGGATTTTCTACTGAAATCGAATTCAGAAATTGTGTACATCCATGCGTTTGAAAATTAGTCACACTCGAATCAGGGTGGTGGTACTACATAGCTGCCTGAATTTCAGTAAGTGGTCTCAAATTCGAACATGTCACCCGTTCGCTGAAATTTGACTAACTAAATTGGTTAACTAACAGGTCTACAAATTTACCAGAAATAGTCTGACGTAGCACACTGTAAACCAATTTTGTGTGTACAAGTATTTTGTTCCCCGTCTTGTCTTAGTATTTTTATGAAATGCCTTGTTTGGTGTATCTTCCAAACAGTTGATAAGAAAGCCTAGGGGGCATCAAAATTTTGAAGCAACTATTTATATCAAACTTTAGTGGTTCTTATGTCTTATATTTTACATGTTAACATATTTCTTATAATATCTGTACCCTGTTCTGTCACATCATTTATTCCCTTATCACACACTTGTCGCTTTCCCTTTATAGGCATCCTGAATGGCTGAAACCATTCTTTCGTTATCTTTCTACATCAGAAGCGGAGATGTTTCTTAAAGATTTCGAACGTGAGTTGTTAATATTTCTATAAAAGTCATATTCTCTCTTCTAGTCTCGTTAACATGGTTATGCAAATGATACAGTACATATATTTAATATATCTTCGATATCCCATTATGGCAGCAATCGTATTACAAATTGCTTAGGGACAAAATCTCAGACCTTTTTTCATTGAAAATTTTATATATATGAATTATTAAAATAACATAAATATTGTAGATACACTCGGTAATAAATCCTAAAATGGTCCAGTCAACTCTTAGCATTTGTCATCAGAATTTGATGTATAAAATTGTTGGTTTGGAGTATTTATTAAGTAAATCAACCTGAAGTCAGTACTTTATATAGCAATAAACAAATAATCAAAGCAATGCTTTTGACCCCTGCTTTGTAATCATCTAAGATCCTCGTTCATATTATTTAATTGCAAGTTTTACAGATAGTTACTGAAAAGTTGTTCCACTCACAGTCTCAATATTGTACGAATTAGTACCCGTGATTATGGCGTTGTAAAATACTGGTTCTACTTCCAAAGAAAAAAAGCGTCTTTGTATAATCTATGGGCTTACTATTCTGGCAAACGACAACATACACAAATTCCTGTTAAGTGGTGTGACTCTGAATACTTTGTAATATCCTGTGTTGAAAACACAATTCGTTCTATTTTGACATTTTCATAGCTCCTAATTATCGAAATTTTCTAGAATAGTCTTGTCTCCCTAACATACTACAGGGGAACCTTCCACATGTATCGTGGAGAGGAATGTGGTTAAGCAAGTGACTGACTAAGTTTCAAAATAGAACTTTGCATGGAAGTGCATCACTTCAAGTTGCCACACTCCATGTAGTACACAAAGGGAGACGAGAGAGGGGGGAAAAGAGATTTAAAAGTACCATGATGAGCAGAAATGTACGAGAAAAAGAGTAGTAACACGGAAAAACATGAGAGTTTAGTGGATATGGGAGATCACAAAGAGCGAATATTATCTGCACTGTTGAGAACGATTTTCAGCTATATCCCTAATAGTCTCTAGTCACTAGTTCCTATATTTAGATAACTTAAAGGACGGTTACAAAAGCCATTGGTAGGTTAATAATACTACACATTTCAAATAAAAAGTTGCCTTATATATGCTATCTGTGGCTTGTGTCATTCAGAAAGACGTATTGTCAAAAATCTTAGTTTCGATTTTTAGGATGTAATCCAGATTTCAAAAGACAATGATTTAGTTTAATTCTATTTATTGGAGTGAAGTGCTCGGTCCCGACGGGAAAATCTAAATTGAATTAAATAATTAATAAGACCCGTTACACAAGAGGTGACTCTCGTAGCCCAAGTGGTCTAGTGAATAACGCTATGGCGTTTGAAACTATGGGCACTGGGTTCGTGTCTCGGTGGGAACACCATCACTCACTGGGGAATGCAGGTACATCTAGAAGACGAGTCACAAATAGGACGAAATGCGCGTTGTCCTGGATTCCACTGCTAGTCACCACCACCATCAACCAGTTTTAAAATTCCTAAATTCTGTGTTGAAAGTCTTTCAAAAAGTAATTTACACGATAGTCTAATAATAATTGCTACATTTCTTTTTTTCAAGGTGAACGTGTCCTCCGTGTCGAACTTAATCATCTGATACAAAATTCTCAGGTGTTACATGAATCTCCCAAAGAACAAACAAGTAATTATCTCCTATGTTTATATTATATTTTATAACTTTTTTTCCTCATTAAGAATCATCCCCGCTTACTAACTAGATTAAAACTAATTATGCATTGACAATATGCACGTCTCAGTTGAATCATTAGCACCACGAAATTAAAGAAAGCCTAGTTTTATGAATCCGTAAATGCCGATTAGATTATTCTATACCACCATATCTTTGATATATGCTATTGTTATTAACGTAACCCAATTTTTACTGATGTGGTTTCTCAATACTTTAAACTTTTTCATATGCTTAATTAATCCGTTGAATAATTTTTGCTTTTATGTGATTGTATGCGCTTCATCGTCTTAGTGTGCCATACTTGGTATCTTTAAACCCGCAAATCTCACTCTACATATGAGATATCACGTATTTCTTTTATGGCTAAGTACTCTGTTTATTCACAGTCCACATCTAACCTCAATATTACTCACCATATTATACCACTCAACGTGGGACATGGAACCCAGACAACTATGATTAAAGTGAACTGGTCTGTTCATATCTTCCACTTTCAAAAGCCATGTCTCACAGTCCTAAAAATGATTGATAGTCAGATATCATGCCCACGCCAGTGATGACGTAAGTTCTCGAGTGTTACATGGGCGTTTTTTATCCGTCAGCAACCAGTCCATTAGGGTCGGTGCAACTTCCCGAATAAGTGAAGTGGCCAACATGCTCAACCGTTTCCCTCCCTATCTTTAAACTAGCAGTCGGTGGTGACCTGTCCTGTAGCACCATCCATTTGACAGGAGTGAAGCGTATGCCAGACATTACCAAGTTTTATGCTCAAGGTGTTCAGAAGATTGTGCTTTGTCAACGTCGACACATGGAAAGACTATGTCATCTGCATACTCTAAATCGACTAGACTATCCCCTGGCGACAATTCAATCACTAAGTGGCTAAAGTCAACTAGTGTCATATCCATTAGTACACTTATAATGAAATCATAGAAGAAATGGAGACAATGGATATAGAAAAAATCCCCATTTAGACATTTAGAAAACAGAAAGATTGAGCGAAGAAATATTTACTTTTCAATTAGATCCTCATCTCTGGCTCTACTCTAATATACATAGCATTTTTATTACAATACACAACAGTTTACCAAACAAGTGGCGATATGTTTGTTAGCAATAATTAAACAGTGTCAAAATGTCAATGGGTTGATAATTAACGAAGAAAATCAATACACATTTAAAAGATAGAAATGGATAGAATAAATTAATTTTACAAGGATAACACGTAATTAAAGATGAAGTGGTCCAAATAAATAAAAATCAAATAATTTGGACAATTATAATTTTTATAGTTTTTAAAAGTTTAGGGGGAAGGGGGCGACGTAGTCCTGTTTATGCATTCATCTAGAGATGGCCACGGTAAGGAAAGTGGCTGTACAAATTTCTTCTGAACATATAGGCTAAGCTTCTTAAAATGGATTCCGATTGCTTCAGCTGTCTGTAGAAGACGAACTCGTAGAGCAAAATTAAGATTAGTCGGAATGCGATAAATAATTTTAAATGCAGTATTAACATCAACCTTATGCTCAGTATCAACAAGGTGTGTCTTCTACAGACAGCTGAAGCAATCGGAATCCACCTTAAGAAGCCAAGCCCATGTGTTCAGAAGAAATTTGTACAGCCACTTTCCTTACCGTGGCCATCTCTAGAAGAATGCATAAACAGGACTACGTCGATTCACTATTTAATGCTAATAGCTTTATCAAATTATTAGTAAATTAGAATTTACAAAATCTCAGCTTATATATAACAATTTAATCATCGCGTTCTTCAGCATATGGTAGTTTTTGCGTTATCAAGTTGGTCAATTAGTAAAGATAACAAAACTAGGTGTAGATTGTTGGATTTGATAAGTGTATAAAATTATAAAAGCAGAGTGTGTTTACATAAACCGTGTCGCTTAAGAGTACTGTACACTCGAAAAGAATTTTCTTATTTAAATGGTTCTTTTTTTTAATTTTTCCATTTCAGCAGCCAGTAGTCATATTAAGCCAGATAATTCATCTGAACAGCTGGACCTAAAAGACAATCCTCCTTCTGCATCTTCATCATCGTCAACTTCTTCTTCTTCTTCTACAGCTTCCAAGTCTAGTAAACCGCGAACATCGCTAATCCATCGTCGATCATCTTATTTAGCAAGATTACGTAATGTTAAACAATCATATTATACAACTAGACGAAGGTCGATTCATCATCGCCATCATCATTTCACCTCATTCAATAAAATAAAGCATAATCTTAATTGTAGACATTATCATCATAAAATTAAACGAATTAAATTTAATAATAATAATAATAATAGAATTCATCAAAAGATAATGATAAATACTCACGACTAATGTTAATTTCTTTTGGTTTGTTTTTCCAAAGTTTCATTTATATTATTATTATTGTTGTTGTTGTTGTCGCTGCTGTTTTTTTAACTTTGATCTCAGGTTTGTTAGTTAGACAGGCAGACTGTTGTTACTACTCTTCAATCTCTCTATGTTTAACCAATCTGTATGAATATTTATCTATGGATGTTTCATGTTTTATTCACTACCGACTGACATCTACCTAACACTCTTAGTGATATATATATTATATTTTGTACATATCATTCATTATTCTAGGTGAAATATATTCAAAGTATTATTGACTGTTGTTATATATATGTAAGTAAACTATCTATACAAAATTAGGACTAATAGGTTTTTGTTTCTTCTTCTTCTTTGTTTTATAAAATTAATAATAATTTTTTTTGTTTTTGTGACTGATCGCTACAATAACGCTTAGCTATAATTACTGTTAAGTTGCCTTGTCCTTTTGTGATGGGTTGCCTGATTGACTTGCTTCAATAGGTTTTTTTTAAATCTTTTTTTTGCTTTTTCTTTATTGGCTGTGTTCTTTCTACTCACAACGTTATCATATTTGTGATCGTTAATGGTTGTTTATTTTGTTTTGTTGCTTAGGTTATACACACACACAAGCTACTGTCACTTTCATTGCATATATTTCTTTGTCTCTTACACTGTTGTATTGTGATTCCTCCTCCTCCTCCTGCTTGTCTTTATCTCACTTTCTAGTGTTTGTTTTACTGCTTTCTAACGTTTTGTATTTCGGTGATAAGCAGCAGTAGTAGGGGTAACTGCTCAATTAATTGTGAATGTTATTTTGTTTTGTTCTACTTCTTAATAGGTAATGGTTGTTTAAGCAACAAAAAAAATGCATTACTGCACTTGTGATAGACAGACTGTCTAGGTGTCTGTTCTATTCAATTTATTCGTTCTTTATTGTATAGGATATTATTATTACTATTATTATTATTATTATTACTAGGCCTATATGCATACATATATTACATGTATCCTGTTATGCAATGTTATGTTATGTTAGTTATATTCCAATAATAGTATTTCCTCTGTTTAACTGTCTTTTTCTATCCATAATAAAAACTCGTATCGACACTTAATTCACATGCATGCTACAGGGAATGAATGCTTAAGGCATTAATAATCGTAAGATTTCTATCCATCAATTGGTAGGAATCTAAACAGTGTTGTACGTATAGTTGGTTTCATGTATTTTCAAAATTATAACAATCAATCCAGGCAATATGATTTTTTACTCAGTGGACTATCCTGTGTGTGATACGTATGTGGTGTCTGGTTTGTTGGAACTGGTTATATGAAACTTTTTGCTTCGAAGCCGAAATCTTAAAAATAAAAAACAGCTGTTTATCTTTTGGTACATGAGAAATACTCATGCGGATATGGAAATAAAAATAAATGGTTTAGCGAAGAGACTCTTTTCGGCTAATTCATTCACTCAACTGTAAAATTGCAATTATGTATAATTATTTCTGCGTGTGTGTACATTTAGTCTGTCGAACATAGGACAAGAATAAAAATGAGTTTGAAGTACTGTTTACATCAACAAAATATTTCAAGTCAGTGATGAATAATCACCTAGTAACTAGGCGGTGGGCGGGGGGAGGTTGGAGATAAGTAAGTTGAAAAATGTTCAGGAAAATTGTATGTCAATCAAAGAGCATGGAAACAAGTAGTAAAGTAAATTATGTAGTGGGTGAAGAGAATGAAGAAAAAGTGAACTAAGAAAATGTCGTACGAAATACACAAAAATAGTATTAGTAACAAAGTAGTGGTAACAGTTTGGTTTGGAATATTATGCTTTTATATTATATTTTTTGATAGGACAAAGTGAATATCACAGGCAAACAGAATGAATGAGAATAACGATCTATGATAGCGGGAGGGGAGTAAATCTTACGTATGAAACCTTGTTATTCGTCGGTAAACATTTAGACCAAAATGAAAGAAGTCAACTGAAGTAGTTATTGTATTTGAAATAGTATGAGCCAGCCGATCAACTAATTATTATATATAAAGATCATCAGTGAGATTGAACATAAGCCTGTTTTCGTGAATAAATCCACACTAAAATAATATGGCGTCATGTTATTTTCCCTTGTTTTCAAATGTATATATACACTGCATTCCTTTGATATCTTCTAGTTTCAAGTATTGGTTTTTAGGGATTTGACAGATTGGTTACAGGATTTCATCATGAACTAACACCAGATAGAGAACCATTGGAAAGTCAGTAAAGAGTATTGGGCAGCTGTTTCGCCCTAGTTTGGGACTCTTCTGATAGCACACACCTACCACCAGGGTTCAAACCCAGGACCTGGTTTCAAGGCGAGCTCGTAGACCATTAAGCCATTAGTACCCGACTTAATGGCCGATGAATTCCAACTTCTGCCAATTCATGACATGGCGCGACCACTAGCCAATGTCTTCGGCGAGTATTTCTCCTCACACCCGACCTGCTGTACCCCGCTGGTTACGACTTCCCACTAGAACCCAGGTAACTACCTACCTGAATAGGGCCACTCGCTAGTGAGCGTCTCATTGACATTCAAGCATTGATTGGTTGGTTACAGGATTTCATCATGAGATGATATTGGTTAGAGAACCATTGGAAGACCTGGGAGTACTGGACAGCTCTTTGAACCCAGGTGGTGGGTGTGTACTGATGAAGAGTCCCAAACTAGGACGAAACAGCTGCCCAGGTTTTCCAATGGTTCTCTAACCGATGTCAGCTCATGATGAAATCCTGTAACCAGTCTTCCGATTTATTGTATATTCTAAAGTGGATGATATCTGGTAATGTCATGCTGAGTTTCATTTTTTTACATCACATTATTACATGATGAGCAATAAAATACGATAAGTGCTAAGCTGTTTCGATTATCACTTACTGCAATTAGGTAAAGTCGAAATTGTGTATGGTAAATCAGTAAATCTGTCTCATTGTTACGCATCATTTGGACACATTACATTGCTTTCTGCTTAGGAATCGTTCATTTTCCAAACCCACCTGTTTCTATTTGTTAGTTTGAGTCGCATAGTTCACCTAATGGATGTTCTTGAGATGTTAAACATTACTGTATAAAGAATCTTGGTGGTATAATAAATAATTTACTTTCAGATGTCGGATTCATACATACCACCATTTTCTTGATCATCCACATTAGATTATGGTTCAAAAACTGAAGAATCCTAGATATGACGGAAAGCGCTTCCAAAGTTCTACTGTCAACCAAATAATATTTTCAACTTTATTAACCTCTTCTACTGCCGTACCTGAAGTTGTTCTATTTCCAACAAATCGAATTTGACACAGATGAGTAGTCTTCAAGTTTGTTTGAACCACGATCAGTTTTTCATTATCCGTTAAGTGGTTAGTCAACTTACTTACAAAGTCTTCAGTTGTCGAATGTCGATGTAACACCGTTGTATACCCCTAATTTTATACCTTGTAATGAAAAGTATCTTTGAAAGAGAAACTCATTATGCATTTGACTTTATTAAAAGTAAATTTTTTTTATATAAGATATTTATCTAGGATACGGTTTAATCTCTGTTGCAATTTATATCCAAACTTAAATATATTCATGAATCAATACCAATTGGTGTTTTCATTGGATATGTACGACTTGAATAATTAAGTGAATAAGTAATTAATCATTGAGAGAAATAAATCTACATATCATAAATGAATTTTCAGCTCATTTTGGGAAGAGGAAAATGAAAACATCCAAAAAATTAAATTTCAATCAAATCAGAGATCTGTTTGACACAAGACATTAGGTTGGCACATCAGAATCTATTATAGTAACAAAGAAATAAAACACGATACTTTGATTGGACACTAGTAACTAGTGTGATGTGTCTAATCCTATGTTTGGTGCAGACTGAATTCTATCAGTCAGGTTTGCAATGTGGCCACCATTCTAGGTGGCTCGTCATCACGATGTACATTGATTTGATGATATTAGATGGTTGGAGGCAATCAACAGGAAGCCTTGGACCTAGGTTTCGTGCTAGTTGGCACTCACCATTCAGCAAGGTGTATCTGCAACCTTGAAGGAACTCATGTCCCTTCTACAACCCAAACCCGCGTCACACAGTGCTGCAGTTAGAGACGTTGCGACTACGCGATTCAGACACACACATTACACTAGTTACTGACTAGTGTCCATCCAAAATATCCAATACAGTCCTACAGGAAATCAGTCGCGAGCCAGAATAACTCAGTGGTAACGCCTCTGACTGCAGCACTGGGTGATGCGGATTCGAGTTTCAGAAGGGACATGAGTTCCTTCAAGGTTGCAGATACGCCTTGCTGACTGATGAGTGACAACTAGCACGAAACCTAGGTCCAAGGCTTCCTGCCAATTGCCTCCAAACATCTAACATCAACAAATAAAACACGAGGAGATTACTTAGGATTTCTGAAGACATTTTTATTCGAATAGTAAAGCCGAAAATGCTATATTTACTAATTTATTGCTAGATTGGTAATTTTTCTTCTCCACAATTTTGGTCCCATTCAACTATACATATTTTTCTACCGCAATAGTGTGATAAAACACGGTGGCCTGCTCAAAACTTTGGCTACCAAAAAGAAACCCATCATAATTTGTCAAATAATTTCAGTTTGTTTTAATCTATAAAAATATGACCTCTAGTGGTGTCCACAACCTGCTGATTAACAAGTTTCTAATAAACTTCGGAAAAATCAAAATCGTGGCTGGCAGCGTATCCCAATGCACGAGATAACTGTTCCTGAGATTTTTAAAACAAGCTGCCACTACTTAAAAAGCAATAAAACTAACTACCCGCAATTTTCAATGATACAGTTGTTATTATTATATCCTTGAGTTTGAAAATATACTTCTGCACTTTCTTAATTGGCTTTCAACTAAATGTCGTACATCTCTCAAAGGAGACAAAGAAGAAATATCATGAGAGATTGGTTTGCACTTCGTGTCGGATAGCACTGTGTCACGTGATCTACTGTCAATTACTATCTTACTTGAAGATCCTGGATAAAGAGAAACTATTATGGAATAAGTTCCGCTGAAAATTCTGTACAGTATATAAGCACTGTTCAGAATAAAGCTATTATTATTAGTTGGATTTTTATTGAAAAATGCGTGTCGTTATTTGTCTAGACAGCACTTCTTTCCTCATGGTTACATAACCACTTCTTTTTACATCTGATTTCATCTTCAAATTGGAGAATACTTCTCTCCTTTGTTTGTAAGAATATTTCTACTTGTATTAAAACTTTATTGTTTTAACTTTCTGTATATCGCTCATATTGTTTGCATAAAAATAACAACAGCTTTATTTAAAACAATTAGTTCCCTTTATGAATTTAGATAAAGCAATAAGAATACGTAATTTGTCTAAATCGTGTAATGTATTTGCGCAACACAAATGGAATCTTCAGAACCTATTAATGGTGAGAACAGGAGACCTAGCTCTTCTATTGCGAAACATATTTTAGGGACAGGACATAAAATTGACGTTAACAGATCTTTCAAACCTATCTGTAAAACGTGTTTGGGGCGTATCCTTAAGTTTGTGGAAGCCCTAGCTGGCAATCAGAAAGTTTAAACCACCTTTATGCGTTCAAAAACAATTCGTCATCACATTAAACCTTCCTTGGTAAATTTTGTTTTGATACCATAGCAGATGTACTATTACCTCTGCCATTTGGTTTAGTGGTCTTCATTGTTATTTTGACCTCCAATATGTCCTTTTAACTTGACCTAAGTGTATTTTCTCACCTCTTAACTCTTTATTAATTTCATATATATTCCTATGACAAGTCCGTGTGTGATCAGATTGTTCGAAATGTGTTGCGCAAATACATTACACGATTCAGAGAAATTACGTCTTCTTATTGCTTTATCTCAATAGCTTTATTCCAAACAGTAATTTTGGTATAAATATGGAATTTTCAGTATGTAGTAGTACGGTATTGCATCTAACTTTCTCATTACAGGGGTAATAATTGAGACAGGACATTTACATTAATAATACTATTCAA